TCAGCCTTTGTTTTACCAATAATTTATTTCTTTTTTTGGCACATTTCAAATTCGGGTTCTCGGTAAATTGGTTTTATTTTTTCCTTGATCAATTCCCCCCCCCCCCCCCCCCCCCCCCCCTTTCCCTTGACAAGCTCTTGTTCAGATAAGGGATCTTTCAACACCTGCGTTACCCGGTGGGATACACATTACAGAAGCCTACCAGAATGTTACTAGCTTCTCCTAATAATCTGAGTTAGGACGAACTTTATTCAGACTCCGTAGAACCCGGTACCCAAGTGAGTTGTCTACCTATACTGCTAGCGAAGCCGATATGATATGTATGACTACTTCACATCTTTATTACATGCACGTCGGTCCCGGTAAAAAGTCGGTAAGTAACATCGCCTTTAGGGAGGACTCACTTCTCTAGAAGATCGTCAAGTCTGAACTCGGAGACATTTAACCATCACACCCGGCATGTAGGTACATATCGTGAAGGCAACATATCAGTCCGTAGCTTCGTTACATATACCTATCCATGCATCCATTCCCCTCTGTATGCGGCACCTACCTACTTCCGTGATTTGTTTTCCGTTTACCACTCGTCCTATGCGGAATAGGGGCGAAATGAACCCCCTGGTTCCCTCAGGCGTCACCGAACGAGAGTAGATACTAGGTAGCTTTGATAGGAGTCTACCTATATATCGTCTTGTGTGCACACTCGATTATATCCATGTCCCTTGTCCCTTTCTATTTTCCCACCCTCTCCAGTCCGTCCCTTCCTATCTAAAGTACCGGTAGCCTCACATCACATACAATGATCACGAAGTCTTAGTCACAATCCTCACCCCTCTCCCGCCTCGTCTCGGTTCAGACATGCTCAATAAACCTTACCTACAAGCTTCGTAATTCCCCATCTAAAACCCCTTAAGCAAAACCCGCAGGCATGTGATGTGTTTTATCCAGTTCCATAGGGTAGGTAGGTAAGATAAATCTAGTCAAAGGCAGGAAATCATTTAGTCCCGGTATGGGTATGCTTCCCGGTCACTACGCATCATGTTATCGAGTGTGAACGGAAATACACATACTACCCCGTTCGTTCCACTTTGCCGTCGTAGATCCGTAGGTATATATGCATTTAGGTGTTCCGACAAAAACACACAAGCTTAGTGCCACCGGCTATTTTCAATCACTAATTTCTCTTTGCGTGTCTACTAGGTACGGTGCCGCTCCGCGGTATCCTATTCATGGCAGGGCATACTATTTCCGCCCTTTCACTTACCTACCCTTACTACTACTTAACTTTTACGAGGAAGGAAAAAGGTGTATGTGGTTATAGGGGCGTCAGCAAGTCAGCTCGTCCTCGGGAGTCGGGAGTCGGGAATCGGGGATATGATGGGACCAAAGCGTCCGTAGAGACACGGAAAGGGGGGAGAGGGAGAGAGAGAGAAAGACGGCGAAAATTGTAAGGTCGGAAGGATGCGATACCTGGGTTTACTATCATGATAGATGTATGTATGTATGTATGTATGTATGTATGTAAGCACGGCAAAGTTAGAGGGCTGTGTCTCAGTCTCAACCTCCGGACATGTTAGTTTCAGGTATTCTACATCGTCGTGTCCACGAAAGGATGTGAGTACATACCTTATCTTACATGTACAAGAATTCGTTACTATATATAAGCCGGACGCGTTGAGGATACTGTCCACCCCTCTTCCCTAACAAGGTTCAACTAGATATAACGTTATGTTGCTCCCCTACGAGTAGGTAGGTGTAGAGTCTTTTGCAAGTTAACCAACGAGGTAAGTTTGCATAGCTGATATTCTCCTAGCTAGGTAGGTTGACCGTACAAAAGAGACGACCAGCAAATGCTGTTATCTACAAGCTACAATTGCGCTTCATGTTACAACTTACATAACAAGAGTTACTCTCCTACCGTCATAGTCTAGGTTACATACTTACACATGCCAATTTACGTCTCTCTTTCATTCTTTCATTCATACCCTCTTTCCGTAACAAGACATGTACCTACACCTAACCTACCTAAACAGATAGATAGGTAGATACACTTACGTGTAAATTCCAACCTATTACCTAAAATAAGGTTTTGGAGGGATCATTAAGCAACTCGGCAGTTGCTTACTACCTTACCTTACCTTACCTCAAGTTCCCGCTCTCTGCCTGCAGGCACTTATTTCTAATTACCTAACTTACCCAGATGAAAAAAATGGATTGTTACTTTACCCTACCCTTAGATAGAACGGGGAGTTTTAGTCAAGTATGTAAGCTTTTAGTTTAGTCTAGGAGGTTATAGGATAATTTCGTCCGTGGTTTTTTTTTTGGTTTTTTTTGTTTTTTTTTTTTTGTTTTTTCCTATTAACCGTGTATGTATCACCCCATCAATCACCCACCCTAGGTTCGGACAGATCAAATCGATCAACAGACCTAGACCCTATTATCTAGCATACGGAAAAAAAAAAAAAAAAAAAAACCTTTTAGATAACCGAAACGGAAAAAAATAGGGGAGGAAAAAAATGTCCGATCCCTAGATACCCGGTGGCCGCCCCTCTCTTCTTGCATTATCGGTTCCCATGTCAATCAATCCATCTGCATAGTCTAGGCAGACTTTTTCTTTCTTGCCTACCTAGTCTAGATAGATAGATAGATAGGTGTTCTTGTCTACCTATACTCGTAAATTTTTTCCACTTCCTTTCCGTTTGCAGATCATTTACGTGTATACGTGTATATGTACGTGTTTGTAGGTATCTTGCAGCTAAAGAGAGGCTCAGGCCCTTGAACAACCCGAAACCCTATCTTTCTTGCGTGCTTGCTTGCCTACGTACCTTAGGTAACTAAACCTATTTCAACCTTGCATGTCGTGCACGCGCTGGCGGGCGCGCGCGCGCATTGCATTTGAAACCGACTAACCTTAACCTAAAGCGCAGAGACACGTTTCCTATAAGCCTTAAATGTAACGTCTATAATTTCTATCTATCATATCTACTTTACTTTTCAGCTTATTAAGATAGAGTTGCAAACAGGGTAACTAATTTTAAAAATGTCCGCGTTTTTGCTTGTTACGTGAATCTTTTATACAGGGCTGCACAGGGTAACAGGGTAAAAATGTATTTATATACATAGTAGACGCTTGAATGGCGGGGAGGGGGAAAAATGTTCAAAAGCAAGGCATC